AATTTTCTATTAATGGTTTATTCAAGTGGGCAAAATATAAATGTACAGAAAGATTGCCCGTATACACTGAAAAGTAAGCAACCGACAGCCTGTATTAAAAGGGGGACTGTGATTGGCTGTTACTTACGCGAGATTTGAACGGGACTTACATAGGCGTCGGATCAGATGTAGGTAGGGCGGAATTAAAAAAAATCAAAATCAAAGTAAAATAATAAAATAAAAGGACATTAATAACAAAAGTAATACAAAATAAAATTAAAACAAGTTTATAGCCAAAATAATTACAGCCCGTACACTACATCAGATTTTAATCAGATTGGGGTAGTTAATACAGCATTTCCAGTTTGTTTACTGAATTATGCTGGGGTAGTTAATATGGCATTTCCAGTTTGTTTACTGAATTATGCTTGGGTAGCTAATATGGCATTTCCAGTTTGTTTACTGAATTATGCTGGGGTAGCTAATATGGCATTTCCAGTTTGTTTACTGAATCATGCTTGGGTAGCTAATATGGCATTTCCAGTTGTTTACAGAATTATGCTTGGGTAGCTAATATGGCATTTCCAGTTTGTTTACTGAATTATGCTTGGGTAGTTAATACAGCATTTCCAGTTTATTTACTGAATTATGCTTGGGTAGTTAATATGGCATTTCCAGTTTGTTTACTGAATTATGCTGGGGTAGTTAATATGGCATTTCCAGTTTGTTTACTGAATTATGCTTGGGTAGTTAATTAATATGGCATTTCCAGTTTGTTTACTGAATTATGCTTGGGTAGTTAATATGGCATTTCCAGTTTGTTTACTGAATTATGCTTGGGTAGTTAATATGGCATTTCCAGTTTGTTTACTGAATTATGCTTGGGTAGTTAATATGGCATTTCCAGTTTGTTTACTGAATTATGCTTGGGTAGTTAATTAATATGGCATTTCCAGTTTGTTTACTGAATTATGCTGGGGTAGTTAATATGGCATTTCCAGTTTGTTTACTGAATTATGCTTGGGTAGTTAATATGGCATTTTCAGTTTGTTTACTGAATTATACTAGGGTAGCTAATATGGCATTTCCAGTTTGTTTGCAGAATTATGCTTGGGTAGCTAATATGGCATTTCTGATTTGTTGATAATTGAAAAATCATCTGTATCAATTTTTGTTCATGATTTTAAGATTGTGCTTAAATGATATTCATACCTCACTCCACTTTGTCTTTTTCGGAACTTCTGAGCTTCTTTGGTCTCTTCTAATATTGCTCTAAAAAACAAAAGCATATGAATAATTACTGCAATATTGTGACATTAAAGGTGACATTAAAGTTCAAAAGAATAGGACAATTACAGACAAAACAGAGTAGATCTGAATAAATATTTATTGTATGACTGTTGATCACACCTCACATTTCATGCTTAGGATTGCTCACACTAGATACTTTTGGTACAACTGTGTCAGCAGATCTTGGGCTGCATGCATGCCAAACTCAGCTACCTCATGCAAGAATACAGTCAAACTCATCCAGAAAAAAATAGTCAAACTCGGCTAGTTGTAATTGTGGAAGTGTGAAGCGGTCAACAACTATAACCTTCTAGCTTTCATGTCTGTCTAGTGTTTATATGTGGTGACACAATGCTCACTACTGCATCACTGACAACCCTTGTCGCCCATTCATATTTTATTTTTTACTGTGATATGACTCCAGCAGTTTGTACTTTATTGAATGAAATTTTATTTCACCAAAAAACAAAAACAACGGTAAAGGTAGAAGTTGCACAGGTAGTAAATACATATAAATAAATAAACAATTAAATAAATAAACAAATAAATAAATATATAACGAATTCCAATGTTTTGTTGCAGAGTATTTAAGACTGTGTTGGTTGAGTGTAAGATTCAGTTTTGGAGTATAATAGTTCAAGCTACATGCTAAACGGGTTTGATAATTATGGGACAAAGGATCCAAATAGTTGTAAATATCATGTACAAAATATTTATTGCTAAGATCAAAGACAAATAAACTGGTTTGTAACTTGCAGAGTGAAAAAATATCTAGTATTCTTAGTTTTTTGAAAAGAGGAGCAGCATATATTGGTTGCAGTAGAGTAGCATATGTATTACCCCAGATTTCCAGGCAATATGTAATGTGTGGTAGAATTAAGGAATTGTATAAGAGAATTAGGATATTCCTAGGTACAAAATGACGTAGTTGTGAAATTAATCCAATTTTTGGTGCGATAACTTTGCAAATTTTATCAATGTGGGCTTTCCATGACATATTCTGGTCAATGGAGACGCCAAGGTAATTGACAACATATATGCCCTCTATCGGTGACCCGTTAATTTCCAGGCTGCCCTCAGTAGTGGCCGATCGTTGTGGTGTTTTAATTATCATGTAATTTGTTTTTTCAGAATTGATAGTAAGTTTGTTAGCACTGCACCATGCACGAACCCTTTGAAAATCATTATCAATTTCTGAGAGATTGATTTTATTGTTTTGAATGAAATAAATAGGTTAGTATCGTCAGCAAAGCAAAGAGTCGAAAATGAAAGGAATTGGTAGAGTTGGCTATATCATTAATGTATATTAAAAATAAGATTGGACCTAGAATCGATCCTTGCGGAAACCCGCAGGTAATAGGTCGTGGCAAAGATGAAGTGTTTTCAATACATACAAATTGTTGGCGATTACAAAAGTAGTTTTTAAACCATAATAGAGGAAGACCTCTAATACCATAGTGTTCTAAATTGCAGCACAGTATTTCATGATTAATGGTGTCAAAGGCTTTTTTGAGATCGATAAAAATACCAAAGGTGATATGGCCGAGATCCAGTTTGTCAGCTGTGTTGGACACCAGGTCAGCCAAGGCAAGTTTTGTACTGTGTTTTTTACGGAAGCCAAATTGAGTATCAATGAGTATGGATTTTTTCTCAAGATATGTAATTAATTGCTTATTAACGATTGATTCGCATACTTTGCTCAAAATAGGTAGAATGGATATTGGACGGTAATTGTTGACATCATTTACGGAACCTTTTTTATAAATGGGACCTTCGGTATTTTAAGAGCATTAAGAAATATACCTTGGCGAATTGAACAATTGATAATGTGGGCAAGGGGGTGAGAAATGATATGGCTAGCATGCTTGACAATTTTAGGGGGGACACCATCATGTCCTACTGATTTTCCAGGATCTAGGGCAGTGATTTCATTGAATATATC